GGGTGGATCAGCTGCTGCCGGCCCAGTGCTGAGGTGGGCACAAGGGCAGCCTTAAGTAGGGTGCCCACGAGGGAGGAGAGGCCAGCTGTGGGCTCTCCTGCCAGAAGGCGTGGCCGGCAGCTGATAGGCCACCTGAACTAAACCGCGGGAACTTTCCCGCTGGGTGAGGGGGCTTCTGGGAAGAAGAAGCCCCCCTCAGGCCAAATGGCGGGGGGGAACACCCCACACCGCAACCTCCATGGCCTGGTAAGTCAGGCCATGCCATTTGCGTGTGCACGGGCGATACACCTCCCCCCGCCAACCCAAGAAAAAACCACTCACACAAGGTATTGGGATAAACAATGGCCACAACTCATTTATTGATAACAGGAACAAGGGTTGGCAGCCATGCATGGGTCCTGGATCAAGATCGGGCAGCCCACTGCTGTCCGATACCGCAAGCCACACAGGGGTGCCGCCGGCACAATACCGGGCCCAATGCACTCGGCACCCCTGAGACACCAGGCGTTCCCCCTTCACCGCTGAGGGGGGGATACCAAACCGGATCCAGGGCCCATGCCCACGCCACAAAAAGGGGGGGTGGACCCCACTCCCCTTTGCCGCCAACCCTGGTTGCTGCTTCCAATAAAGGGGAAAATACTCCCCCGAGCCCAACCCTCCATAGTACAGTCCTATGCTGGCTCCGTGTCCTTTTGCGCGCCTTCATAGTTGACAATGCAGGGGTAGGCAGAATGCCAAATCTCTTGTTATCTGCCCTTCCATGCCTCAGCTTGCCTCCTCCACGTACTGGCACCTGGCCGCTGCTGGACACAGCTGCTCCGTGAGCCTTCCACATCTCCTTTCTTGCGCTTGCTTGCTCTGTGGGTGCAAGAAAAAGAACCGGCAGGGCGGGTTCCTTCGAGGAGAAGGCCCGGCCTGATATAGGAAGAATAGGCAGACGATTTCCAGCGCCCCATGGCCTTGATAACGTCAACGGAGACACCACCATTGGCCGCTACGGTAGCTGCCCCAATTCTAAAGGAGTGCCCACCGAATTCCGCTTGGGGAAGGCCCAGGTGCCGGAGGGCCGCCCGGAAAACAGCCATGAATTGGAAGCGGGTGAGTGGGCTCCCATCCCGGTGGATGAAAAGGAAGCCCGGGGATGGGTCGCGAGCCCTTAGGAACCTAGCAAGAGCCCTCACAGGGCAAAGTAGCCCTGGCTCCAAGCCTTGGATGGACAGGGTAACCCCCTTTCCCCCCTGGTCTGTTTTGGATTTGCGTACCCTGAGGGCCAGGACCTTGGCCTGGATGGACACATCCCTGAGCTGCAGGGCCCTGTCTGAGAGGTCCCTCTTAGAGTTAGCCACCACCTCCCCCAGGCGAAGGGCCCCAAAGAAAGCCGTTGTAAAGGCTGCAGTGAATAACTTCACCTCGTAGCAAGATGAGCAGATCCTCTTGAGTGCTGGGATGATCTGATTGAGGATCTTGTACGACAGGGGGCGCCTGGTGTCCAGCTGCCTGGGCGCTTGCTTCGCCCAACTCCTGAGGAGCTTCCTGATCCTGAAAGACTGGCAGGGGTCCCCGCACCCGGCTGCCTTGCTAAAGAAGGCGATCCCCGCCAGCTGGAGACGCATGGCATGTGCGGTTACCCCGTTTCTCCTCTGGTGTATGAGGAAGTGCAGAACCTCGTCCTCCGAAACTGGCCATCTGCCGCCGTAACCGACCTCCAGCCTGAACCTGTTGAATTTCACTATAGCCGCTCGGTATGCCTTCTGCGTAGCCGGTGCGATGGAATCCATCAGTCCTGCCCAAGCCTCCCGTCTCCAAGGGTCCACAGGTCTAGGGGGAAGCTGGCGGGCAGTAGGTCTGCACCTGGAGCTAGAGAGCGAAACCTGTCCTCCTGGAAACGGGATAACGCATCGGCTATCTCGTTGTTCACCCCTGGAATGTGCCTTGCTGAAAAGGTGATGTTAGCTTCCAAACATGTTAATACAAAAAGCCTGACTAATCGCATGACCCTGGCCGACTTGGAGGACTGCCGGTTGACCACCCGGACCACCGCCTGGTTGTCACACCAGAAGCGCACCCTCTTGTTTCTAAATAAGTTAGTCCATGTCCGCACTGCCACCAAGATAGGGAAGAATTCAAGGAATGTTAGATCCCTAAGCAGGTTACCTTTTTTCCAGCTGTCTGGCCATTTGGCTGCGCACCAATGACCCTGCAGGAAAACCCCAAAACCAATACTCCCTGACGCGTCAGACTGGACCTGCAACTCACTCCCCAGCTCCCACCTGGTCTGCCACATGGAAACCCCGTTGTACCTCCGCAGGAACTGGATCCACACCCTGAGATCTTCGCGCATACCTTGGGTCACTCGGATCCTGTGGTGGGGTGCACGTGCCCCAGCCGTAGCCCGCGCCAGCCGAGCGCAGAAGGGTCTACCCGGGGACACCACCTTGCAGGCGAAGTTGAGGTGGCCCAGGAGGGCCTGCAGCTCCCTCAATGTTACCTTCCTTTTTGCAGCTGCCTCTTCTATGCGGGCCCGGAGGGCGGAAAGCTTGTCCGCCGGCAAGCAAGATAGACCCCTGACGGAATCCAGCTGGATCCCCAGGAAGACTATGGATGTGGAGGGTCCCTCGGTTTTTTCCTGAGCTAAGGGGATGCCAAATGCCTTAGCCAAGGCCATGAACGTGCTGAGCAGGCGAGCGCACTCACCGCCGCCCTGCCTTCCCACAAAAAGGAAGTCGTCCAAGTAGTGAGTGATGGAGCTGGATTGGGAAATGGTCCTGGCTACCCATTCCAAGAAGGAGCTAAAGGTCTCAAAAGCTGCGCAACTGACTGCGCAGCCCATGGGCATGGCCTTGTCGAAGTACCACAGGCCATTGAATTTGAATCCCAGAAGGTTGAAATCATCTGGGTGCACAGGGAGGAGCCGGAAAGCCGACTGGATGTCACATTTTGCCATAAGGGCCCCAGGTCCCTTGGCCTGCACCAAGCTGACCGCATGGTCGAAAGAGGCGTACTTTACTGAGCAGAGCTCGGGAGGGATGGCGTCGTTAACAGAGGCCCCTCTAGGGTATGAGAGGTGGTGGATGAGCCGGAATTCGCCTGGGGCCTTCTTGGGGACCACTCCCAGAGGGGAGACCCTGAAATTATCCAGAGGGGGGGCGAGGAAAGGACCAGCAATTCTGCCTGCGGCAAGCTCCTTGGCGATCTTGCCACTAAGCACCTCAGGCATCTGGGCCGCCGATTTTAAGTTGCCTGAGGTGTAGGACCTCCTAGGCCCCATAGCCGGGATGCGGAAACCGGAAGAGAAACCCTCCTCGAGGAGGGACGCGGCAGCCCTGTCGGGATAAGCCCTGAGCCAGGGAACCATGGGTGGGAGAGAAACGGGGGTGCTGGCTAGGGCAAAGGGACTGGGAAGAGATTCACTTACCCTGTCCTGCATTGGCTCCTCCAGGCTCCTTCCTGTTGCCGGGCTGTGCGCCAGCCCGGCCTGATCGAAAGGGCTGCAAGGTGCCCGGCTGCTTACTGCAAGTCATCTTGGTGTGCCCTCCCGAGCAATACTCACAGACGTGCTCGAAACGGCAACGTGCCCGCTGGCACTTCCCCATGTTGAATTCCCAGCAGATGGCCCTCTTGGAGTCACGCCTTCCCCAGGCCCTGTCTGACCTTCCTGACCCTGGCTTACCCTTTATGCTGGGCCCCACCTCGGTGAGCCAGATATCTTGATTGATAAGGTCCCATCTGGCTCTGGCACTCTGGGATGCCCTCTTTCTGAAGGCTGAGTCATAGGCAATGGCTGCCGCGTCGCCCGCTAGTTCTCTGGCCCTAGAGACGTGCTTCTGATGATTGAGCAGGTGCCACCCCCGCTCGGGAAAAGCCGCTGTCACCACTCCCGCAAACTCTGTATAACCCGCCACCCAGTTGGCGAAAGTCCGCTCGGCTGGCCTGCTCCTGTCCCTCTTCTGATGCCTGCCCTTGGAAGGGTGTTCCCGGCCCTCCTCCCCTTGGGGCTTTAGCAGGGTGAAAATGTCGACATAGTAGCCTTTCAGGATCTTACTCCTGAGGCGAGGGGTGAGGTGGGTGCCGGGGGGGTCCTCGTTGTCCTGAAAAACGGGGGGGAGGGCTGGGGATGAGGGCTTGCCCCGCTCCCACGCCCTACAAGGAGGGTCAGAGATGGCACCTGTCTCGGACCTGCACTTGAGGGCCCACTCCGGGAGGCCAGGCACGAGGGCCTCTGACCTCCAATAATTCTCCCTGTCCACCGAGTCTGCTAGGGCGTACTCACCCTCCGAAGAGTCGCTGTCGGATGAGAAGTGGCGACAGCATTTCGACGACCTGCACCTCTTAGGTTTTGGTTTGCTCCTGTGACTGCAGCGGCAGGGTCCTGGCGAGACCTCCTCCCCCTCGTCGCTGGATATGGATATTTCTTCACAGGATGCCTGGTCGCTGGGCTCCAATTCGGCTGAGCTGCTGTCGTCGCTTTCCCTAGGCCTCCTCCTCTTTTCTCGCTGGTGCTCCCTTTCGGGGGGGGAAGCTGATGCCGTGCCTGGGTGGGAATAAACTTTTGATTCAAGCTTACCCAGCCTGTCCACAATGGTGGCAATGTTCTGGGAGATCCCCTCCATGTTTTGGGAGATCCCCTCCAGCACGCTGGCCTCGTGGTTGGCCGTGCGTGCCGACGAAGCATGGCCGGGCGATGGTTGGGCAGGCTCCGGTTGCTCTCCTGCGGGGGCAGTATTACTGCCTCTCCTGTTGACACGCGCTGGATTCAACGCCGCTGTCCAGGTTTCTGCTGCCTTCCTGGCCGACTTCCTCTGTGGCGCCATGTGGATGAAGTCCTAAGAGATAGAACTGCATGGAAAAGACGCTGCTTTAGAGGCATCACCGGGAGGTGGGGGGGGAAGCGCGTTGGGCCCTTGAGGGCTGGCGGCTGCAGAGGCAAGGAAGGCCTGTAGGAGGCGTGCCTGGACGCGGTCCCGGAGGAAGGGCTGCCTGACTGAGGGAGCTCCAGCAGGCTACCGGGGTGGGGGCGCCGGGACGTGCTGCAGGGACAGGCATGAAAGGTGTCCAGGGTGGGGGATGAACCCTGGCCCCCATGAGGGAATAGATAATGTCATGGGGTGGAGGTGGCTGAGATTTTTAGCACACCTGCAATCAAAGAGCATTGTGAACCCCCAAATGATGGAATGGAACCAAAATTGGCACACAGAACTCTATGACCAACAGGGACTCCTGGAGGGAGGTTGGCCATAGACCTGGGGTTGGGGGGGGGGATGAATTGCACGGGCCCTCCCCGGGGGGTGGGCAGGCCCCCAAAGAACGGCAGGGGGCGCTGCCCGAAGCCTGAGGCCCGGCCGTGCCTGCGCCGGAAGTAGGCCGGAGGGGTTGCCGGCGGGCCGCAGAGGAGAGCTGTCCCCCGGGGGGACCCTCCCCGGGGGGTGGGCAGGCCCCCAAGGAACGGCGGGGGGGGGGGGCGCTGCCCGAAGCCTTAGGCCCGGCCGGGCCTGCGCCGGAAGTAGGCCGGAGGCACTTCCGGCGCCGGCGCGCGGCCCCCCGGAGCCCCCGGAGGGCTGCCGGCGGGCCGCAGGGAAGAGCTGTCCCCCGGGGGGACCCTCCCCGGGGGGTGGGCAGGCCCCCAAAGGCGGCAGGGGGCGCTGCCCGAAGCCTGAGGCCCGGCCGGGCCTGCGCCGGAAGTAGGCCGGAGGCACTTCCGGCGCCGGCGCGTGGCCCCCGGAGCCCCCAGGAGGGCTGCCGGCGGGCCGCAGGGGGGAGCACACGCAGGGGGGAGCCCCCCGGGGGGGTGGGCAGGCCCCAAAGGACGGCAGGGGGCGCTGGCCGGAGCCTGAGGCCCGGCCGGGCCTGCGCCGGAAGTAGGCCGGAGGCACTTCCGGCGCAGGCGCGCGGCCCCCGGAGCCCCCAGGAGGGCTGCCGGCGGGCCGCAGAGGGGGGCTGCCCCCCCTGGGGGGACCCTCCCCGGGGGGTGGGCAGGCCCCAGAGGCGGCAGGGGGCGCTGCCCGGAGCCTGAGGCCCGGCCGGGCCTGCGCCGGAAGTCGCAGAGAGGAGCTGGGCCTCGGGCAGGCGCCGGGCCAGCCCGGCATGGAGCTGCCCAAAGCCGAAGGCCCGACCAGGCCTGCGCCAGGTGGAGGAGCCCCCGAGAGGCACCCGGAACGGGTAGGAGGGGGCATGGGAGCCCCCCGGGAGAGGAGCTGGGTGGCGGGCAGCAGACAGGGAGGAACGGGGGACCCAGGGGGGGGTGGCCCACAGGAGCAGCCTCCTGGAAACTGTCCCCCCCCCCGGGAAGAGAAGGCAAAGTGGGCGCAGTCCCGAGACCCCACCGTTTTTTCCGATGCTCCCGGGTCCTCCTCTGCTGCTGCTGCTGCTCTCTCCTCGATCAGCTGGTGCCCGCTCCTCGATCGTCTGGTGCTCGCTCACTCCTCAATCAGCTGCTGCCGGCCCAGTGCTGAGGTGGGCACAAGGGCAGCCTTAAGTAGGGTGCCCGCGAGGGAGGAGAGGCCAGCTGTGGGCTCTCCTGCCAGGAGGCGTGGCCGGCAGCTGATAGGGCCACCTATCCAAACCGCGGGAACTTTCCCGCTGGGTGAGGGGGCTTCTGGGAAGAAGAAGCCCCCCTCAGGCCAAATGGCGGGGGGGGGAACACCCCACACCGCAACCTCCATGGCCTGGTGAGTCAGGCCATGCCATTTGCACCAATGGGCCAGATAGAAAACAAATCTTTTGGCTTCCCAGATCAAAAATGGATTTTTGTCCTCTCAAATTTTAGAGGTTTCCAAAAAAATGGATCAGGACCCCCACCGCAATTCAGGGCACCAAAACAGATCATGGTTTACCCAGATTACATAATCCTCCTATTTAGGAATCTGCTACCAAAGCACAACTCTCACTCTCAGAAAGTTCTTCCTAATGTTTAGTTAGAGCTTTCCTTCTTATATCCACTGGTTTAGTTTCTGCTCTCTGGAGGAGCAGAAAACAACCTTGCTCCATCATCTGCTTGACAGCCTTTCAATATTTTTAGATAGCTATCATATCATAGCTCACTCTTCCCTTCTCCAGGAGAAAGATCAACACAACAAATTTTCGCATCCCCTTTCAAGTTCCAAAGTTTTTCATGCTATGTAGTAGTGAGGAGAAATTTAAAAAGGTTCTTGCTCCTCCCCAGTCTATAGCACTGCTTGTTCAATGGGGAAAAGAAGGACCTTGTGGACTTAAAGCAGTATAGACCCTGGGGAAGGAAAGATGTAGAAATCTCCCTCTTTAATTCCTCCACATAGGAGTTAAGGACAAATGGAAGAAAATAATAATATGGGATGGATGTGCAGCTTATGTTGGGTAAGCTCAGGGTGTATTTGTAGTCCTCTGAGATCCCAATGCCATGTACACATCCTACAGCCACCTGAAATTTGCCCATTTAAATTGTTTTTCTTTGTATTTCCCTAAAATTATGTAAGTCTTCACTGATTTTCATCTTAAAGGAAGTAATAAATAATGTAATTTTCTTTTCAGTGTAAAAAAGTTTATTGTTGCTGTTTATTTGCTCAATCGCTTCTGACTCTTTGTGATCTGAGTCCATGCCAGAGCTCCCTGTCGGCCGTCGCCACCCCCAGCCCCTTCAAGGTCAAGCTAGTCACTTAAAGGATATCATCCATCCATCTTGCCCTTGGTCAGCCCCTCTTCCTTTTTCCTTCTATTTTCCCCAGCATCATTGTCTTCTCCAAGCTTGCTTTCTTCTCATTATGTGGCCAAAATTACTTAATCTTTGCCTGTAATATCCTTCCCTCCAGTGAGCAGTCAGGCTTTATTTTCTGGAATGTAGACCATACAGATTTCAAATATTATTTGCAGTTCAAGACTTCTTCTGTACAAACATACTGCACAGAGTAGTTGTTGAGCAGGAAAGTGTATTTTCTGTGCAGGAAGCCCCATTTTCTGCACAAAGATATGCTGCGTAGCCTGCTCAGAAATAATGTGCAGACAGCATTATTTTTCCCCAAAGGCTTACTGGACAAAACAGCCAAGAGCCATGTGTGAATTTTGTGCAAAATAAATTTCAAACTGAAGATATCCTTGTATCCATCAAGGTCTCTCAATGCATGAGTAACAAGGATATACAATATGTGAAATGAACAGATGCACAAATGAAATCCCTTCCAATAATAATTTGGTTCAGCCCAAATTTTTAACCTATCACCTTGAACCAAAAGAATTGTGGGCAAGCATGGCTCTGGTGGATTTCTCTATATGTATTAAAACGATATTGTATAAAAAGTGTAGCAATCTTCACCAAGTTGTTCTGCAGGACTCTGAGGACATCTTCAGTGATACCATGTGAACATGGGGATTATTATTAGACATCAAGCATTTAATGCAGAGAGCTGCATAAATGGGATCAGAGCACAATGATCGCTTGAAAATAATTAAAAAGAGCAAAACATTCTTAATACCTTAGAGATCACTAAGGCTCTTGGTTATTTTGCTTTTAAATGTTAGAGTCTTAGTGAATCTCATTTAAGCTTCTTCTATAATGCTGTCATAATTCTAATGACTTTTCCCTCGTGTTTATCTTCGTACTAGTTCACTATGATCATTGATAATATTTCAAACAACTGCACTCTCTATGTCTAATTGAGTCTGCTGAGGTGCTTCCTCTGTAACCCACTGGTGAGGTCAATAGACATTGCTGGGACATGGGAAAGTACCTGGTCTAATAACTTAATTTTTAAATTCTTTGGAGTTTTAAACTATTTTTTGTTTTAAATGTTGAGTCTATAACTGGAAATAATAATAATAATAATAATAATAATAATAATAATAATAATAATAAGGATTGAAGAGAAACAACTGGAAAAGCTGACACGATATGAGGATTTAAAGATCGAACTGCACAAGCCAGTAAAGGTGGTCCCAGTCATGATTGGCACACTGGGTGCAGTGGCTAAAGACCTTGGCCTGCACTTAAACACAATTGGCACTGACAAAATTACCATCTGCCAGCTGCAAAAGGCCACCTTACTGGGATCTGCACACAATATTCACCGATACATCACACAGCCCATGACACTTAGGAAGCAGAGTGATTTAGTTTGCTGTGGACTAATCTTGTTGTGTTTCAAACAACAACAACAACAACAACAACAACAACAACAACAACAACATACTATCTGGTGAACTATGGACTGGACATATATAATTAGGGACCAGTAATTCTCAAATGCTTGCTGAAACATGTAGGGTTTTCAAATCCCTACGAAAGGATGACAGTGTGGGGGCTTGTTTAATCTCCCTGGGAAGGTGTTCCAAGGTCATGGGGCCACCACCAAGAAGGTTCACTCTCACATTCTCACAAGGAAGAAAAGCAGGATATACTATAATGCTTTTCTATCACATGCTTGAAAAGAGCTAGTATGTGGATCAATTCTAGATGCTGTGTACTACCAATTCAGTGACATTCATCTAATCTTTCAAATGGAGCAGACTCTAGATGAAGTAATACTTGTATAGAATACTACCACAGAGTACCAAAGATTTCCAGGTAGAATGAGGAAAGAAACCCCAGAGAACTAAAGCCAGTCAACTCATTTGTATTTACTTACTTACTTACTGCATTTTACCCCACTCTATCTCAGCTCATCTCCATGGGGTACCCAGAGCAGCTTCCAAATTGGCACAATTTGATGCTAGAATAAGCATAAGCATACAATACAATATACATTATACATTAAAATCAATAAAAACCATAACCATCAATACATTAAATGAAGGGTTAAAAGTAGGCCTGGGTAACAACGGAAAAATTTGTTTCTAAAATCGATTTGTATTTGGGGGGTTTTTTTGTTTCGATATTTAAAATAATTACAAAATTTTCCTTTTAAAAAGTTTGATATTTACGAAATTTCGTAAATGGTAAAAAATTAACGAATCGATTTCCGAAACAATAACGAATCGATTCGTTAATGGCGGACGCGACCGCGAAATACGCTAAAAAACCTCCAAAACCTTCTGAAGCTTCCCTCTCCCTCTGTTGTTGACTGTTGGTGTGATATTATAATTTTTTTTCACTAATTAAACCATAAAACTGGCCCAGACATGCGGAAATAATAACGAAACAACCTCAAAACAATAACAAAACGAATACAATATCGAAATACGAAGCATTTACAAAACGTTTTTGAAAATTCGTTTTTTTAATAATTGCTCCAGAATGGTTCGTTATCGTTTTGTAATTGAAAAAATTAACGAATTATTAACGAATTACGAATTAACGAAACGAAACCGCCCAGCCCTAGTTAAAAGCACAAAGATCCAAAATTGTAATCCAGGAGCAATTCCAATCATATTTCAGTCACTTCGTAGCTACCTATTGCATTTTGCTTCCTATGCTCCTTCCTATGTCAAAGAAAGTGTCCACTGTCCAAGCCTGTTGGGTTTCCAGAAGGATCTTGACACCTACTTTTGCTCAAAAATGCATGGCTAGTTGACCACTTATAGTCAGCCTTGCTTTATCTTCCAGTGCACATAAATACTGCCCCAGTCTTGATACAACCTGTTTGCTTGTGAGTGGCCTCTTAGAAAACTTTTCACCTGTCACCACAAATCTGATCCTAAGCTGAGAATGCATTTCTTCCTGAGTTCACACCATATGTACAGAAAGGAGATGCCTCAAATCCTATTGCACCAGCTGATGGAAAAGCAGTCAGGGGTGGCAGGTGGGGTGGGAATTGACAAGGAATTCATGTCCATCTCCTAAACACAACAGCCCTGCATCCAAAGCTTTATACCAAAGAGTACAGATACTTATGAATAGATTCTCTCCCTTCCCCCCAATCATGTCAAGTGTCCCTTTCATAGCAGCATTCATTTGGTATTCAGTACTGATAGTCATGAATTCACTTGGTATTCATGGAAATGACACATACGCTTCCCCTGGTTTTTCCTGCTGCTGTTTAGGATTAGTTAATGGGCACTTAAAATAGAGTGTTGCCCCTGTGGGAGTAAAATAACTTCAATCCTGGTGAACAAGCTGAAAGTATAAATGATCACATTATGCTGAACTTGGTTTCGTTATTGGCTTCTCAAATCATATGCT